TAAGGAGGCTAGGTGGCACAGTGGATAGAGCACTGGGCCTGGAGTCAGGGAAGAACCTTCTTCCTGAGATCTGGCTTCAGACATGTACTAGCTGTGTGACCCTGGGCAAGTTACTTAACCCTGTTTGTCTCAGTTTCCTCAGTAAAATGGGCTGGAGAAGAAAATGGCAAACCACTCCTGCATCTTTGCTATGAAAACCCCAAATGGGATAATGAAGAGTCAGATATGACTGAAATGATTAAACAACAAATTGTTAGATTTAATCTATGATGTTTCAGGCCTACTTACTATCTTTTTTTATTTGACTTCTCCTTTCATCCTTATTACCTAGTGTGCATTTAGAAAGAAATCTCTTAATGATGTTTGTTGTTATTTTGTTCTTATTGTCCTTGGTCACCATATTTATTTATTTATTTTTTCAGTTACCAGAGCTCTTTTATTTTTTTAAATTTATTTCTTTAATGTCACTGTATTTATTTACTCTCCTTATATTTTCAGTTGTCTGGGATATTTCAGAAGCAGATAGTTTCTTCAGGTTTGTTATTCTTCCTAGGAATGTTTCAAATGACTCTTTTTATTGAACATCCATCTTTTTTCACTAATAGGCTTGTATTTGCAGGGAAAGTCACTTTGGGTTTCAGGTTGCACTCTTTTGCTTTTTGGAATATATTATTCCATTCCCTCCTCTGGTTTCTGGTGGTTGCAGAATAGTCTTGTGTTATCTGAATTTCTTTTCCTTTATATTTGAAGATCTTTCTCCTGATCATTTGTATAATTTGCTGTTTATCAATGCAATTGCTAATTTAATCACTATGTGTCTTAGAGTTTGCAGCATAGGGCTTTCCCCCCCTTTTTTTTCTGTAGACTATCTGAATTCTTTTAATTGGTACTTTGTTTTCTATGTTCAGAAGTTCTGGGTGGTTTTCTTATGTTACTTCTTGCATTGTGATATTCAGGTTTTTTGACTTGTCTTGTTCTTCTGGGAAATTTATAATCTTTAATTTGTCTACTCTGTCTTTAAGATCAATATGTTTTGTTTGTATACATCATGCTTTCTAATGTCATTGATTTTTTCTTTTTGTCTTCCAGATTGTCCTTTCATAGCATTAAATTAAGCAGAGTTAAAGTTTCAAAGCTGAATATGTAACTTTAAAACTCTATAGAAATAACCTTCCACTTACATTGAAAACCATTTCCTGATTTATTATTATTATTATTTGGACTGGGTCCTCCCATCTCACTCAGGCTAGAAGTGCAGCAGTCACTGATATGCACAGGGCCTGATATCAGCAGGGAAGCTTTGATTTGTTCTGGTTTTCTCCTGGGCCAGTTTTCCTTTCCTTAGGCGTCCTGGTGGCTTCCAACCTTTCCCCCTAGGGGTCATCATGTTAGTGCCAGACTTAGTGTAGGCACTTGATTGGCTTTAGCCCTACTTCAGGTTAGAATTCCCAAGCTTAAGCCATCCACCTGCTTCAGCCTCCCCCAGTAGCAGGAATTACAGGGAAGTGCCACCAGGCCTAGTCCTATGACTGATTCTTTATTAAAAACTTCAATACTTTTTTATTTTTTGTCTTTGTGTCACAGTTATTTTGGGGAAAAAGAGCTCCCCTACCCCCAGCAAACCAACCTTTCCTTCCCTTCCAATTGAACCATCTGCTGTCACAAAAAAAATTAAAATGCATCTGAACCTGTATGCCAGAAGTGTCAAATAGATTAAAATGTAATTGGGAAATATTTAACAAAATAAATAAAAATGCAATAGAATGTAGATCATATTAATATGTGGTTTCCTAAATCAATAAGGGGCCTTCAAGTATTCTTATATATGACTTAGTGGCCCCTTGAGTTTGACACAACTGCAGTATACAATATTCTGTCTTAGTAGCCCCCCCCCTTGCTGTGATTGGGGAGTATCTTTCATTATCTGTTCTCTGAGATCATCACTGATTGCTCAATTACTTGGAGCTTAGCTTCCCTAAATGATCTTTTTAGTTACATTGCTATATCATTGTTTTGTATACTGATCTTTTGGTGCTGCTTATTTCACTTTGTATTAGTTCATATGGTTCTTTCCATGTTTCTCTGAATTCCTCATATTTACGTCTTACTGCACAATAATAGTCCAGATCATTTATATTCTGGTTAGGTTTCTTTCAGCCTTTCCTCCCCTTGATTGGCACCCACTTTGTTGCCAGTTTTTTGCTAACACAAAGAGTGCTACTGTGAATGTTATGGTATATATTATATGTCTTGATGTCAGGTTTTCATCAGTTATATTTGGTGCAAACCTTTTCCTTACTACAGCTTCTCTTCTAATTATTTGTTAATTTTATTCATGTGAAAGCCTTTTCACTTTATGCAGTCAAAATCATCTTTCATCTTTTATGATATCCTCTATGGCTTGTTTAGTTAAACAGTGATTAATTCTTGAAGACTCACTTCTCTTTGAACCAAACAAGTGGCAAAACCCTGTCTTAGTCTTATTTAATATCACATTAGCAATTTAAAACACTAACATCTCGCATTTATATTGCACTTTAAAGTTTGCAAAGCACTTTTCTTAGAACAGCTCTGAGGTGAATAGTTCAAATATTATTAATCCCACAAAAATCTAATCTTCTGAAAGTTTAAATGACTTGCTCATGATCCCATGGCTTGTAGGTTTCAGGCAGAATTCAAACACAAGTCTTCTGATTCAAAGCCCAACACTCTAGCCACCTTAACCAAGCTGCAGCTTAATTATCATAAATCTTTTTCCTTTAGGGTCTGAACTTAGGGACCTCTGAGATCACATAGTTCACTCGTTCTATAGCCAGGGAGATTGAGGCCCTTAAGGAAAAGAGACTTGTCAAAGGTCTCACAGCTACTCTGACATGGCTGGGACTTGAACCTACAGACACTTAGACGATATCAATGATTATGATGATAATAATAACGCGTTTATATAGTACTTTGAAGTTGGCAAAGTGCTTTACAAATATCTAACTTTATCCCCAGAACAACTCTGAGAGGTAGGTGATATTATGATCCCCATTTTGCGGATGAGAAGAGCAAACAGAGATTATAACTGATTTGTCCAGAGTCACAGAGTTAATAAATGTCAGAGGTTGGATTTAAATTCAGGTCTTAATAATTACAGGCCCAGCACTCTATCCACTCTACTTCATGGCTGCCACACTATGTTGATTCCAGTCATCTTTCTTTTGTAGTGATACATCCATTTAGGTTAGGAGAAGACATATGGAGCAGTGGACAAAGTCAGGTGATATGAATTGGGTTTCTGGTTCTGCCATTTGCTAGGTCTGTGACATTGTGCAATTCATTTACCTACCATGGGCCTCAAGTTTTCTTTTTTGCAAAATGGGACTTTTATTTGTATTACCTAACTCACTGGGTTGTTGGGAGGATAGCATGTTATAAACCTTAAAGTGCTCTAGAAAGCTGAGCTATTATTAACATTTCTATTCTTATACCATGTTTAGTTAGGTAAGACATTGATTGAGATTTGAAATAGCTTCTAAAGAGAAGTCATGAGGAAGTCAGTACAGAGAGAATAGTAATTAAAATCATTAGAGCCTCTCCCACACAGTCTTTGTGGGATGGTAAAACCATTTGATGTCATTGGAAATCCATTTAGAGCTGGAGAGGACTTTGAATGAGGGGACTGAGGCCTGGAGGAGTTAAATGCCTCTCTCATACTGGTGGTGAGCAACAAAACCAGGATTCAGATTCCAAACCCAGTGTTCTTAATTTGTTTTCCTTTATCCTTTTTTTCTTTTTAACACCAATGGGTATTTATTGAGTATTCAAAGACTGTTAGGGCTGCAAAGGTCCCTAGAGATCACCTAGTTCAGTTCCCTCATTTTGTAGAGGAGAAAGCTGAAGTTCAGAGAGGAATAGACTTTCCCAAGGTCATGCAGCTAGCTAACAATAGAGCCGAGAACTTGTCTTGTGCAAAATGGTTTCATTTCCCATTGTTTTATCCGAAATATGCTTTTGTATGCTCCTTGAAGAAAGGGACTGTCTCAGTTTATTTTGTATCCTCAGCACTTTGCACAGTTTTTTCATAGTAGGCACTTAGCAAATGTTTGTTGATTTTTCGAATACTAGCTTGTTCTGTTTTTGTTGTCTGAGAAAACGAGCTGCTTATCTTTGTGAGTCAGAAAAGATGCTGATTAAAGTCTCAGAGAGGAATCTTCAACAGGGGAGTTAGGATGGCAATCTCTCTATGGCCTTTTGGTGCTGAAACTAGATTAAAATTGTATTAAAACTGTGTATATAATGGCTCTTGTCTGTCAGCAATTATTATATATGTGTGTACATAGAGAAATATATGTATATTTCTCTCTCTATATATATGATTATTGCTAAAAAGAAGAATTCACATTTTTGTTGTACATTAAGGTTTAAAAGCACTTTCTTGCAACTATTCTGTTAGATAGGTTTTATTTATTTTTATATATATATATATATATGTATGTATGTATGTATATACTTTATCTGCAAGGAAACTGAGGCATCAGTAAGGAAATGATTTGCTCACGGTCATACAGCCAGTGAGATTATAATCAGGAATTTAACCCCGCTCTCTCGATTGCAATTTGCCTGCTCTTTCCATAACCCTATAGTAGCAAAGAAGTCCACATGGAAATAAAATTGGTTTACAAAATGTTAAGAGGTAGGAGAAACAACTTTAAAGATCACTCTCTGGCCCACCTAATTTTACAGTTGTAGAAACTGAGGTCCAGGGAGGCCCATGGTCACACACACAAGGTGTTAGTGCCAGAGCCAGGCTTAGAGCCAAGGTCCTCTGACTTCCAGGCCTTATCTCTTTCCATTGGATATTTTTGTTTTTTCTTATTCTTCACTACAACATTCCAAATTTTTGTGTTTATGTAATTTTGTCTTCCAAACCCCTTTTAAATTACCATAGAGCTTGAGGCGTGAAGGCTTAAATAGATATATAAAAATACAGAAAATATGTTTTTTATTTTTTTCCATAATCTTTTCAATTTAGTCTGATCAGTAACAGAATAGCTCCTGTGGCCTTGGGGAACAGATGACTATTGAATTGTGCCTCTCAGGACTGAAGTTCTTTCTCAGTTTAAAACAGCTGAATCATAGACTCTCTTGATTTTCCAACACCAACCCACTTAACTGAAAGACACAAAATAACAAATAGTTATTAGAGCAAACAAAAGACAAATTAATTTTAAACATGCTATAAGTTTTTTCATTTCATTAAAAAACTAAAATGGGAGAAAAATGGAGGATAAGCAATATTCTTAATGCCATTAAGGAAGGATTTAATAACAGATTTTAAACATAAGAAAGTGTTATATATGGATGATTGTGAATAACTGTTAACCAAGATAGAATAAGGTTAGAATCTTAGAATTTCAGTGACCTCAAAGATTAATTTCCTTAACTGTAAAATGGAGCTACTACTCTGTGTACTACAAGGCTGTTAGGAAAATGCTTTGTAAATCTTAAAACTCTATAGAGAGGTGAACTATTATGATCATCTCATTCTTATAATTTTCAATACAGTTCAGATAGAAATGGTTGTGGGACAAATTGCCATTTTTCTGAAGCCAGGAGCTCTTGTAACCTGAATTGCATTGGTCCTTTAAGTGGAAGGCTGCCACCTGGTCCTCTTGGGAAATGGGAGTGTCAGCCTAGTTATTATCTTTAACCCCCCACTGCCTCATGGAGGAATAATGAAACAATGAAAGAGGATGGCTTAATAAAGATGATACTTCTTAGGTTTTCTAGACAAAAAGTGAGAGGTTCCAACAATAGGTGTACTGGTAAATTTTTAATAACTAACTCTCAGAAAAAAAAGTATGTACAAACCAGTTTTAACTTTAATTTTCATTATTAACTTTTTCTCTATCACTTTCTTAAGTCTAGGCAATCAACAAAACAATAAATCAAGCCCTCATTTGTAGCATTTATCGATATCCAAGGTGTAAATGCTTACAATGAAAATTCAACAATCACTTAGGGATGGAGACAGTGTAGAGTTTTTTCTCTTATTTAAAGAGAAACTATTTAAAGAGCACTATTTAAGTGCTTGTTCAATCAAAACAACTCTGAGGTACCACACCACACCTATCAGATTGGCTAATAATGACAAAACAGGACAATAATAAATGTTGGAGATGTGGGAAAATTGGAACACTAATGTATTGTTGGTGGAATTGTGAACTGATCCAGGCATTCTGGAGAACATTTGGGATTATGCCCAAAGGGCTATAAAACTGTGCATACCCTTTGACCCAGCAATACCACTTCTAGGCCTGTATCCCAAAGAGATCATAAAAATGGGAAAAGGACCCACATGTACAAAAATATTTATAGCAGCTCTTTGTGTGGTGGCAAAGAATTGGAAATTGAGGGGATGCCCATCAATTGGGGAATGGCTGAACAAGTTGTGGTATTTGAATGACATGGAATACTGTTGTTCCATAAGAAATGATAAGCAGGCAGACTTCAGAAAAACCTGGAAAGACTTGTATGAACTGATGCTGAGTGAAGTGAGCAGAACCAGGAGAACACTGTACACAGTAACAGCAGCATTGTGCGATGACTAACTTTGGTAGACTTATCTCTTCTCAGCAATGCAAGGATCTAAGACAAAAAGACTTATGATGGAAAATACTATCCACATGCAGAAAAAGAACTTTGGAGTCTGAATGCAGATGGAAGCATACTATTTGCGCTCTCTTTTTTTTTTCATTTCTTCTTTCTCATGGTTCCTGCCATTGGTTCTAATTCTTTACAACATGACTAATGTGAAAATATGTTTAATGTGAATGTATATGTAGAGACTATATCAGATTAAATGCCATCTTGGGAGGGGGGAAGGAGGGAGAGGGGGAAAATTTAGAACTCAACATGGGAGTGAATGTTGAAAACCAACAATTAATTAATTAAAAAATAGCACTTGCCCAAAATATTTATAGCATTTCTTTTTGTGCTGGCTAAGCACTGGAAATCAAAGAGATGCCCATCAACTGGGGAATGGCTAAACCAGCTGTGTCATATGATTGTAATGGAATATTATTTTGCTATAAGAAATGACAAGCGGTGTGTTTTCAATGGGGCGGAGAGGAGAAAGAGAGAAGGAGAGAATTTGGAACTCAAAATTTTAAAAAGGAATGTTAGAAATTGTTCTTACATGTAATTGGGGAAAATAAAATACAAAAAAAGAAAAAGAAATGACAAGCAGGATGATTTCAGAAAAACCTGGAAAGACTTACAAGAACTGATACAAAGTGAAATGAACAGAACCAGGAGAATGTTGTACACAATAACAGCAATATTGTATGATGAAGAATTGTGAATAACTTAGCTATTCTCAGCAATACCAATGATCCAAGATAATCCCAAAGGACTAATGATGAAGCATACCATCTGCCTCCAGAGGAAGAACTGATATCGTTTAAATACAGACTGAAGCATGCTGTTTTTCACTTTCATTATTTTTCTTTTATTATAGTTTTCTTGTACAAAATGATTAATATGGAAATATTTTACATGATTGCACATGTATAACCTATATCTGATTGCTTACTGCTCAGGGAAGAGGGAGGAGAGGGAGGGAAGGATAGAATTTGGAATTCAAAACTTAAAAAAAAGTTTAAAAATTGTTTTAACATGTAATTGGGGAAAAAATAAAATATTTTAAAAAGAAATAGTGCTTGTTCTCAGGATAGCAGCAAAGGGTGGCCTGCTAGCTGAAGAAGGCTGGATAGGAGGTGGGTGTGTGAGTAATGAAGGAGTTCTCAAAGGTAATTGGGGACACCAGTCTCTGATGTCTGGGCAATGCATCATCAGGAAAATAAAATTTAGATTCAGGATGTTAGAGCCAGAAGAGATCTTAGAGATCACTGAATCCAACCTTCTCATTTTACAAGTAGGGAAAGGAGGGCCCAGAGAGAGGAAGTGATTTGCCCAGGGTCATGCATTAAATTAGTGGCAGAATGGGAACTAGAATGTAACCTACTTGGTTCCCACTTTGGAGATCTCTATATCTTACCATGCTGCTTCTTAGCCTTTAAACCATAAATAATTTTTTTCATGCAAATAATTGTTTAGATGTATTTCCTCTATTATGAATTTGTGTATATGATTTTTGACTGAGGACTTTACGTTGGTTAAATTTCATTGCACAGATCTAGCCTGACCTTTGCTATAGCAGGTCAGCATCATTTTGGAACCTGATTCAGTTTCCCAATGTATTAGTTATTTCGTTTAGCTCTGTAACACCTGCAAATATGCTAAATATGCTTGCATTTATATCTTTGATACAAATATTGAACAGCACTTAGCTAAAGATGGATCCCTGGGAGAAACTCTCTCGGCATCTCTTCCCATAATTATGCCTTTATTCCTTTGGGTTAAACATTACTTTCTCTAGACTTCTTAAAAAATATAATTCCTGCAGGGATTGCATATTCAATCCTCAGCTTCTCCAGGTAAACGAGTTTATAAAATGTTTTCCTCAGACAAACTGGACTTGAGGCATTAGAAGGGCAGGGGGGAAGATGGGGGTTGAAGAGGAGAAAATGTAGGGGAAAAGAGTCTGAAAGGGACAATAAGGGGCACTTTGTGGGAAAGTTTGTGGCACCAAAGGAAACTGTCGACTTTATACTTTCTTCTACCTTTCTCTGATTATCAAATTAACTGGGTCCCTTTAAGGTAGTTTGACAAGCCTTGGGTACAGGGGCAGTAATAATAGCTGACCCTTATATAGCACATTAAAGTTTGGGTAAGGGAGCAGGGATTTTAAGTTATCCCACCTCACTTTAAAATAAGTAATAATATGCCAACCCCTGATACCTTAACCAAGTGAGAACATCATCTCAGTCAATCAATGAAAGACTTCAGAGTAAGTTTGAAAAGTCCTTGAAGGCTACTGGATGAGCAGGAGTGACAAGCAACAGGTAGTCTGTTCTAACTGATTGAGGGACCTGGTCATGGAGGTGGGAGGTATTGTATAAAATCAGGAGCTAGTTCAGTACCAAAGAGATCTGGATCCAAAGGTAAGCAGAAGGAGAGTGTTATAGTCAAACAATCCTCAGTGAGCTTTCGTTCCTCTTTTTCCATTTGGCAGTTCTACCTTTTGAGGAGTTCTTTTCTTCAGTGAATTTTTGTATCTCCTTTTCCATTTGGCCAATTCTGCTTTTTCAGGAGTTTTTCCCTTCAGCAGATTTTTGTGCTTCTTTTATATTGGGCTTATTCTGGTTTTTTTTTTTTTAAGGTGATATTTTCTTTAGTATATTTTTGTGCCTGTTTTACCAAGCTGTTGACTCTCTTTTCATAATTTTCTTGTATCACTATCATTTATTTTCAAAATTTTTCCTCTACCATTCCTATTTGAGTTTTAAAATTGTTTTTGAGTTCTTTCAGGAATTTTTGTTGGGCTTGTGTCCAATTCACATTTTTCTTTGAGGCTTTGCTTGTAGCTGTTTTGACATCCTTGTCTTCTTCTGAGTTTGTGTCTTGAACTTCCCTGTCACCATGGTAGCTTTTTATGGTCAGGTTCTTTTTGTTGTTGTTGTTCGCTCATTTTTCCCGCTTATTTCTTGACTTTTAACTTTATGTTAAAGTTGGGCTTTGCTCCTAGGGTGGAGGGGACATTGTCCCAAGCTTCAGGTTTTTCTGAATAACTTTCCTGCTATTTCCAGAGCTATTTCTGGGGCTCTGTACGTTTTCAGTGCTCCCAAGGTGGTATGATCCAAGGAAAAAAATGTGGTGACTACTCTCCTGGCCTGTGCTCTGCTCTTTACCAAGGAAGGACCCTTGCTCCCTTGCAGTTGCAAATGCTAGTGCTCCTCTTGGCCGTGGAACTGTGGCCAGGTCCCCTGTACCCCTGCAGCTAATAGCATTAGTGCTGCACTTAGCCTTGGAACTGCAACCCAGAACTGCATATGGGCAATGCAACAGGGTCCTGCACCTATTACCAACAAAGGATTCCCTATAATCTCTTTCTGACCAATTGTCCCACCTCCTTACTATCCATGGGCTTAAAGCTCCTGAAGCTGCTGCTGCCACCGTTGTAGTCACCTCTAAGGCTTGTTCCTGGTTTTGTGGTGGTAGTGTCGCCTCTGCCTGTGTTGTACTTTGGGCCAACCGTGGTGACCTCCTGAGTTGTCTTGGGCTGGAAAAATGTCTCACCTTGACCTTTTGTTGGCTCTGCCACTCCAGAATTCGATTTGAGGAATCGTATTAAAGTTGTTTGGAGGGGAAGGTTGGAAGAGCTCAGTTGAGTTGTTGCCTACGCTCCCCTATCTTGGCTCTAAGGCCAAACAATCCTGAGAAGAAATTGCTAGAGTGGGAAGAGGGGAGGTTGGAGCGGGAGGAAGAGGAACAGAGGAGGGTGGAGGAAGAGAATTTTCAGCTTAAGCCTCCCCCCTGCACTCTCTCATTCTTGGTCACAGGATTCAGATTTTTCATTGGCATCCTAACAGCATCCCCTGGTAGAGCAGCAGCTGGCAGCAATGTCTGCATCAAGAGCCAAGAACAGACTGGTTACAATGAGGAAAGGTAGATTCAGGGCTCTACAAGGGGTCCTCTGGCTGCAGATTCAGCATTCATTCCATTGTGCCGCCTTGCTTCCCAAAGGCCTTTCCAATTGAGATGCTGTGAATTATCAAGTCATTGCTTACTCCGAGTCCTGGATCTGGTATTTATTAGCTTTATGACCTTGAGCAAGTTACTTCCCCTCTCTTAGCCTCAGTTTCCTCCTCTTTGAAATGGGAACAATGATACTTGTCCTGCCTTCCTTACTGAGATGTGAAGAAAGTTATTGGTAAGCTACAGTGCTCGTTAACTGTGACCTATCTTAACCTTTGGCCCAGTACCATCATGCCCAACACTATTGTTCATTATTATTCACTTGTTATTTCCTGATGAATCTGGACAGTGAAGTTAGCCTATTCAGAACATTTTGATCAGTCCTCCCTCTAATCTCCTCTCTGTTGTAAAAGATTTTTTACATCATAAAACAAATCAAGATTTGAAATAATAATAACAATAATAGTAATAATAATTATCATAATGAAAATGATGACTTCTCTAGAACTTTATAAAGTGTTTTCCTCCTAACAACCAGGGGAGGTAGATAATGCCAGGGGTTATCATATCCAGATTCTCAATCCTTGAGTCATCACCCATGACTCTTGTCCTTGACCTCCATGTACAATCAATTGCCAAATCTTGTCAATTCTACCTCCACATTTCCCCTTCTTTCTATTTATACAACCTCTGCCTTAGCTGAAGTGCATAATTTCTTGCCTGGACTGCTGTGATAGCTTCCTAATTGACCTCCCTGCCTCATGTCTTTTCTTTCTTCAGTCTATATTCCACACACCTGCCAAAGCGATATTCCTAAAGCATTGATCTGACCATGTCATCCTTTTACTAAAAAAACAAACAAACCTTCAATGTCTCACTATTACTGCTAGGATAAAATACAAAATCATCAGCCAGGGTTTTTCTAGTCTCATTTTATATTACTCATCTTCATTCTAGACAAACTGTCCTCCTGTTCCTTGTACATGACCTTGTATCACCCACCTCTGTACATTTGCACAGGTCTTTGTCTAGAATGAGCTCACTCTTCCCTTCTGTCTTAAGAATCCCTAGCTTCCTTCAAGACACAGTTCTGGCATCATCTCTTTCATGAAGTCTTATCTTCCTGATTTTCTCACCCCTCCCCCTAGTTGCTAAACTTTTTCCCTCCTGAAATTGCTTTGTATTATTTGGTATATAATTTATGTTTACTTGTCTTGTGTCCCTCTGACAAAATAGAAGACCTTAAAGATAAGGTCTATTTTGCTTTAGGGTCCCCAGCACCCTTGCACAGAAGCTCACTCATAGCAGACACAACACATGTTTGTTTGATTGACTCTTAACAGATGAGGAAACTGAGAGATGACTCGGAAAACTGAAGTCATTTATCTAGTCACGCAGATACTAAACGTGGGCTCCAGGGCTCAAACTTGGGCATTCTGTTTCTAGGATCAGTGTCTTTTTACTGTTGCCTTTCAAGTTGAAATTAATTGTTCCCTTTTACATACCACTATGGTTAATGATGTGGCTAGGTGGTGCAGTAGATAGAGTGCCAGGCCTGGAGTCATGAGGACCTGAGTTCAAATCCAGTCTCAGACACTTACTAGCTGTGTGACCCTGGGCGAGTCACTGAACCCTGTTTGCCTCAGTTTCCTCTTTTCTAAAATGAATTGAAGAAGGAAATGACAAACCACTCCAGTATCTTTGTCAAGAAAACCCCAAATGGGGTCACAAAGAGTTGGACTCAAGTGAAATGACTGAACAACAAATGGTTAATGATGGCATTCTTTCAGTGCTTTATACTTTCACAAGCAAGATCTCACCTGAGCTTCACAATAAGCCGTGAAGTAGATAGTGTAGATATTATTATCCCTTTTATTTTATCTTTCTATTTTATATAAGGAAAATGAGACTTGGACGTTAAAACAGCTTGCTCCAGATCACACAGAAAATCAGTGGCACAAAGAGGAGTAGACTCCACACCTGCTGATATCCAGACCACGGCTCTTTCCAAACCTCTGTTTCTTTTTCAAAAAACCCCATAAAGCTTACATTTCAGATTTTTACATTCCATCATTGTCTGTCACATCATCCCAGCCCATTCTAATCACAACATTGATCAGCACTTGAGGAGATCTGAGTGTGCCTAGTGTCCAGGACAGACCTGGTGGGTGTGTCCCAACCAGACAAGTAGTGCAGGGCAGCTAAGTGATGCTGTGGAGAATCAGAAAGACTCATCTTCCTGAGTTCAAATCTGGGCTCAGACACTTACTGACTGTGTGACCCTGGGAAAGTCACTTAACCCTGTTTGCCCAGTTCCTTTAACTGTAAAGTGAGAAGGAACTGGCAAACCACTCTAGTATGTTTGCCAAGAAAACCCCAAAATGGGATTAGGAAGAGTTGGAAATGACTGAAATGACCCAATAAAAACCCCCTGCTGGGGCAGCTAGGTGGCACAGTGGACAGAGCACCGGCCCTGAAGTCAGGAAGACCTAAGTTCAAATCTGACCTCAGACCAAAAACTTGATACTTACTAGCTGTGTGACCCTGGGCAAGTCACTTAACCCCAACTGCCTAAAAATTAAAAAAAAAAAACAAAAAAAACAACCCACCTGCTACGCCAATGTGATTCTCCACAAACCGGATGTAATTCTGAGCCTTGGGAGGGAGGTCTTCCCATTTTCTGGCCCCAGTTGTATCTGTTTTCCATCCAGGCATGGTTTCATACTCCACTTCCACCTTCTGAAGTATTTCCTGATTAGCTAGGGGAAAACACATGGATTCATAGCATCTCGTAGTCACAGAATCAAAGGGCAAACTTCCCACCCAATGAAGGAGTCCCTTCCACATCCCCTCTCATAGTGAGATTATTCAGTCCCTCCTTGTATAACTCCAGAGACAGGGAACTTGCTATGTAACAAGATACACACAAATCCCCTTTAGAACCAATGTATATTCTAGTAGTACCACTACTAGGTCTGTATCCCAAAAAGATCAAAGAAAAAAAGGAAAGGACCTATATGTACAAAAGTATTTTAGCATCTCTTTTTGTAGTGGCAAAGAATTGGATTGTTAGGGGGATCCCCATCAATAGGGGAATGATTAAAAAAATTGTGGAGATTCATTAGGAAATAGCAATTGAATAATAGTGAACTGTGCATGATGGTACCAGGCTAAAATTGTGTGTGTGTGTGTGTGTGTGTGGTCTGACGGGGGGGGGGTGGTTTCAGAAAAATCCGGTTATGGGGAAGAGGAGGAAAGGGAAGGCTTCAAAGAAGAGTTGGCATTTGAGCTATGCTTTAGAAGAGAGCTAGGAATATAATAGTGGAAGGCAAAGACAGGATAAAGACACATTGGTGGAACATACAAGTCATGTTCAGGGGTCAGTGAATGGTGCCGGAGCATAAACTCTGGAGAAGAATATGAGAGAAGGCTGGAAGTGAACATGGCCTCAGATTGTGGAGGATCTTGGATGCCCCACAAACAAGCTTTAATTTTAAAGTGAGCAATAGAGAACCATGGACAGTTTTTGAGTAGAGAGACAGACAAAGCTCTGTGTGTATGTCTGCTGAGTTGTTATTGTGATGATGGCCAGGTAAATGAATAAGGAAGATGATTTTGGCTCTGTAAATTTTGATCCTATCCCCCACTTGGCCTGTCTCCTTCTGGAGACCTCAAGGACTGTACTGATAGATTCCCAGAAACAATATTCAAACAACCTTTAGGATCACTACTCCACTGTACTTATCATGTGATCCTTTATTTTGGTGTTGTGTTCCAGGGTTACCTGGCTGCAAGCCTGCCCTGTTTATTCTCTCGCTGAGTGGAGGAGGGAGTCACAGGGTTCTGAGCCCTGCCGCTCTGTTCCGGCTTCAATTTCCTCATCTGTCAAATGATATGTGTGTTATCTACCTTACAGGAATGCTGTGAGGAAAGCACTTTATAAACCCTTAAGTGCTATATAAATATGAAGTATTATTTAATAGTGGTTGTGTGACCATGAACAATTCATCTGACTTCTCTGGGTCTCAATTTATTTGTTAAATGTGGATTGTAATAGCTATGCAGCCTGCTGTTACCCAGGACTGTTATAAAGAAAATGTGTGAACCCTAAAATGCTTTAGAAACATAAGGTGTTATTGTGGTATCATTTTTATACAGTGTAGAGGATGGCCTAGTAGATGGAGAGGAAGGCAACCCTTAGTTTAAATCTCACCTTTGATAATAGCTGTGTGACTCTGGGCAGGTCACTCAATGTCTATGGGCTTAGTCAATTTTGTGGGACTTAACTACCCAGTCATAGAGCAGTTGTGATCAGTGTTCATGTATTCTGGTATCATCTTTAGTCACCCCCTTTCACTGCTTCTTCATTCCTCCAAGGGGCAATGGGAGTTAAAGATAATAACCAGGCTGACACTTCTGTTTCCCATGAGGCCCAGGTAGTGTCCATCCACTCAAAAGCTCAAGGCAACTCAGGTTACAGAGCCAGTGGGCTCCGACAATGAACCAGAACACAGATGAGGCTGGAGGTGGGACTGGGGGGAGGGACAGCCTAGGGCTTTCACTCTCTAAATACAGCCTGCTCTGAGCACAGCAGCAAAGGGTGATCAGCTAGCTGGAGAAAGCTAGGTAGAAGGTGTAGTGTGTAAGAGGGCATAAAGCAAAAATAGGGCAATGGGAAAGAAGTAGCATCATGGTAAAATACAGACTCAGTATGTCATAGCCAGGAGGGATTTTAGAGATCATTTAGTATAACCTCTTCATCGTACAGAGAGGGAAACTGAGGCTCAGGGGCAGGAAATGACTTGTCCAAGGTCATACAGTAAGTTAGTAGCAGAGTAGGATGGGACTCTCTTGTCTCCCAGTTCAGGGAGCCTTCCGCTATTTGTACTATCTTGCTTCTTTTTCTTTAAACCAAGGACAGTTGTATGCCTTAAAAAAAAAAAAGTATGGAACCTGTCCATTTTGGTAAAATCAAAAGATTTTAAGTTATCCACAGAAAAGCTCCTTACTGTATGCAATTATTTATAACAGTCCTTTACTTTCCAAAGGGCATTCACATGCATATTTCTTTCAGTACCCATTGCAATTTCAGCAGGTGCTTACAAATGTTTAATGAATGACTGATGAATGAATGAATGAGAGGGAGAGAGCAGCCATGTATGATCCTTTCTCTTCATCAGAGGTTTCTGAGACTCAGAAACCTGAAAAGAACTATCCACTGTTACACAACTAGAAAGCAGAAAGAGTTAGAAATAGAACCTAGGTCTCTTGCCACTCAGTCCCAGACTTCTTCTGTTCTATTTCTAGCTGATAATAATCACAGTAAGAAGCAGAATGGTATAGTAGGTACTCAGGGTCAGGAAGGCCTGGGTACAAGTCCTTTCTCTTGACACATATTGGCACATCCTTACCTGAACAATAATCTCCTTGGCAACAGCCCTGACAAATGGTTGTCCTGCTTCCCTGGAAAGACTTAGTGACATGGAATCCACCAACTCCCTAGCAGTCCATTCCACTTTTGGACAGCTTTAATTGCTATGCACTCCTTCATATTGAGCCCAAATCTGCCTGGCTGCAAATGTCTTACAAGTTCTGCCCTCTGGGGCAAAACAAGTTTAGTCTCTCTTCTCCATAACAACCTTTCATGTACTAAGATAGCAATCGTGTCCACCCTGAGTCTTCTCTCTTCCAGGCTAAAGAGCCCCAGTTCCTTTGACTGAGCTTCTGGTAGGACGATCCCTTGTCCTAGATATCCTCTCCAGAAATCTCTAATTTGGTACTGTCCCTCCTAAAACTGATTCCATGGTTTACCAAACATTTTACACATGCCATGTTATTTAATCTTCCTAGCAAGCAAATATTATGATTTACAGAAGAGAAAACAATCTCATAGACGTGAAATGACTTATCAGAGGTCACAGAGAGGAAATTGCACAGTGAAACTTTGAACTCTGGTCCCCTGATTCCTGGGCCAGTATACTTTCTTCCATGTTCTGTTGCCTAAATGACTGCACTGTGGGTGTAGGCAGATCCATCTCATCGTAGTCCTATTTATTATTTTGCATGGCAACGTGTCATTGCCCTGTTGTGTCTCAGTGGCTCATAATCAGACCATAATAATCAAAATCCTCATGTTAAAGGAATGGAAAAGATGCCTTTCTAAAGAACCTTTAATGAAGGTCTGCCCCAAACTCTGCCCCAAATTCCGACAAAGCCCACAGGAGAGGTGATGCACATCATTTAGGAAGGACAGCTGACTAGGAACACAACCTTGGTATATTCTAACTTACCTGGAAAGTACGGAATTCTTTTTCCATTCAGTTTGTATGAAACACCAACTTTAATCTCATCTAGGGCATCCAGGATATCCAGTTTGGTTAATGCCAGCCTATTCAAAACCAAAATATTTCAGAAAACGGTATATAACCAAATATTACAATATTAATAGCTCATATGATGCTTTAAAGTTGACAAAGCAATTTCCCCACAACTCTTAGAGTAGGTCTTTAAGGAATCCCATTTTACAAATTAGGAAAATGAGGCTCAGAAAAGGACTCCTCTTCCATTGTCTTGTTTTACAAATTCATTTTTCACCTCTGTAAATATTGTTTTCCTAGCTGGGCAATGACCACCACCTGGGGGTCAGGAACAATGTGTCTCCTCCATCGTGCCTAGCACTGTGTTGTTCACAGAAAGTAACTCAGTAAAATTTATAGAATGTTTCCCAAACTCAATTGGTCATTGAAAATTAGGAGGTTGAAATCTATACAGGCTCATGCAGGAGAATGGGGATTTGGATATTCTGGGTAAAAGAGGATTTAGAGAAATTACAGAGCAAAATGTAGGAAATTATTCAAATTTTAATGCTTAAAAACTTCCACTTTAGGTATTTTTATATATATACTACTAATACAATAAATCCAATTTTCACATGCAATATAATTATAATATAAATATTTCATACCTGTAACAAAATTATAAATATCTATGATATAATTAACATTTGACCCTTTAGAGGGGAATATAGTGCTAATGTTGAAAATGTTAACATTCTTTGCCCAGTCCTATTCACAGGAATGAACAGCATTCTATAGAACGCTGTTTGAGAAGGCTGTTGGAGATGGCTGAACAAATCAAAGAAGTGAACCTAATCCTAGCGCTCATCTTTCCACCCGAAGAATATTATCCTCGGATAATTATCCTGTGAGGGAGCACAATGTACTGGAAAGAGCACTGCACCCAGGGGTCAGAAGACTCCCCACCTCGACTACTTGTGAAATGTGTAACCTTGGGCAAGTTACTTTTCTTCTCCAAGGCTCAATTTCACTGTCTCTAAAATGGGAATAATTGTAATAATACAAGAACTAGCTACCTCTCAGGTGTGGAAAGTATTTTGTAAACCTTAACGTGTTAATAGACATACAGGGTGATTATTATTACATTTTTCCAAAGGTAATAATCACCTCTCATTTATTTGCTCCCATGGATATGAGTTGGGACACAAATAGAACAATGGACAATTTCAAAAAGAGAACAAGTTACATCTGACTTTGTAATACATCACAGGGTTGGTTTTTTTTTTGGCCTCAGATTAATCTCTCTAATTATGTTTGACTTAGGCTAAGAATTAGTTTGTATTAATTAGAATTTGTGTATGACTCAGGCTCTGAATTTAAAGTGAGTCTTAAGTAATCTATATTCGAGGGAAGGAGGGGGAAACCAGCATTTATTTATTTTATTTTTTTAAAATTTTTTATTAATTTATTTTGATGTATCAACAATCACTTCCATATACTTTTGAGTTTAAAATTTTTCTCCCCCTTCCTCCCCACCACCCTCCCCAAGATGGTGCACAATCTGATATAGGCTATACATATACATTCCTATTAAACATATTTTCACATTAATGATGTTGTAAGTAAAAATTAGAACCTATAGGAGGAACCACCAGAAAGAGGAAGCAAAACTCAGCAGAAGAGAAAAAAAATAGCAATTCAAGTTCCCTAGTTCTTTCTTTGGATGTGGGTAGCATTTTCCATCACGAGGCCTTTGGAGATGTCTTAGATCTTTGTATTGCTGGGAAGGGTTAAGTTTATCAATATTAGTCATTGCACAACGTGGCTGTTATTGTGTACGATGTTCTCTTGGTTCTGCTCACTTCACTCAGTATCAGACCATACAAGTCTTTCCAGGGGAAACCAGCATTTATTAAGCACTTAATATATACTAAGTACTTTACAAATATTATCTCATTTGATCCTCACAACAACCCTGCAAGGCAGGTGCTATTATTATCCCCATTTCTATAGTTGAGGAAATTGAGGCAGACAGAGGTTATAAGTGACTTGCCCAGTCACACAGCTCGGAAGTGTCTGAGGCTAAATTTGAACTCAGGTCTTTCTGACTCCAGGCCCAATGCTGTAACCACTGCACCTCCCAGCTCTCTAACTGAGTGTTCGCTGTTTTTGCAAAATTGAATAAACCTAAATTCCTGCCTCACTGATATTGTTTTGACTTCTTCACTGTTTCATGGTTGTGAGTCTTGTTTTTTCTCCTGGTTGCCTATGACCTCCAAGATCATAGAAACAGAAAATCCTCTGTTTGTCCTTTAAACCCCTTCATAATCTGCCTCTTCCTATCTTTCTAGTGTTCTTACACTTGAATCGCCACCATACACTGCAATCCAGCTATACTGGCCTACTTGCTTGTTCCTTGCACAAGAGATTCCATCTCCCGACTGAGCCTTTTCCCTGTCTGTCCCCCACACCTGGAATAATCTCCCTCCTGGCTTTTCTGGCTTCTTTCAAGGCTCAACTGGGATGCTACCTTCTGAGAGGCCTTCCCTGGTCCGTCCAGCTGCTAGTGTCTTCCCTCTGAGAGTAACTTCCATTTTCATTAAGTATATGGATGTGTATATGTCTATCTATGATATATATCTATATATCTATGTATGTATATGTATATACACACATATGTGTATGTCTTATATTTGCAATTCTTTGCATGTTGACTTTCCCATTAAAATGTGAGCTCCTTTTTTTGTATCCTTGGCCCATAGCAGAGTGCCTGGCAAATGGTAGGTGCTCGTTGACTAACTGGCTTCCCTATACCTCAGACTGTGAAATTCCCTAGTAGCTGCCCAGGGTTGTTTTTTCCCAGTCTTCTTCCCAGTGTGGCCTAGTACAGTACTGAACAAAGACCAGAGGCTTATCAGAGGAATGATCGCTTACGCAGTAAATCCATTGATCATGTGTGCGTATCTCAGAATCATAAGGTCTAACCAGCCACAGCGCCGCTTTCTGCCTGTGGTCACTCCCCACTCATGGCCTCGGTTCTGTAACAGGTCTCCAATTTCCTGCACAAAGAGAAAGGATATTTAATGATGCTGATTTATGCCTCGTTCTTTCCTCTCTGCCCAGCTAAAATGCTCATCCTTCAAGAGCCAGCTCAATTCCCACTTTGTGCATGAAGACATCCTTGACTATTCCATCACACTGTTATCTCTTTACTTTCCGGCTTCAGAGTGGGAGCCCCTTAAATTTAATACTTAATTCACAGAACTCTTGAATACCAGTACAAAGAAGAATTTTCAAGGTTATTTACTCCAGTGCCCACACAGAGGGGAACTGCTACACTCAATACCATGCCAAGTTCAGATTGGTTTCAGGAACTGTGTATATTTAGCTTAAAGAAGAAAAGACTTAGGGAGAACCTGATAGTAATCTTAAAATAATACGCCGAGGGGAATTTCATTTGTTCTGTTTGCCCCCAGAGGGCAGAAGTATATACTTCTGAAACACAGAGGTCTATTTCAGCTTGATAGAAAAGAAAAACTTTAAACAATTGGAGGTGTCCGGGTGAACCAGAGTGAGTGCCTGGCAAGGTGCTGAGTTTGGCATCACCAAAGCTTCTGCAGTAGAAGCTGGAGGGCCACTTGTCTGGGATGTCATAGAAGGGATTCTTGCTGAGATATGGGTTGGGTCCCTTCCAGCTCTGAGATTCTATAATTTTAAGAGCCAGGACCAAGTTCACAAACAAGTTAGTGGCAGAGCTGGGGGTTTCCTTCCAAGCCTGAATTCTTCCCACAGTACCATAATTATCCCTTTTCTTGTCCTATTTACTCTTTTACATTTATGAGTATGTTTCACAACTATGAGGTCCCTGATGGCAGGGATGATGTATTCTCCCCCCAGACTCCCCGATGAATGGTTGGGTAAAACACCTGGGGTGTTGCTACCCTTCTTCCCTCTCCCAGATGTGGGACTGGTCAGAGTCCCCTGGGAATCTGACAGGGTCCTCTTAACTGGAATCCATCCTAATTACAATAGCTGACATTTCTGTGGCTCTTTAAAATTTTCTTCACTATTGCACTGGGAAGTAGATGGTACAACTGTTAGTACCTTCATTTTATAGAGGAAGAAACAGAGGTTAAGAGGAAATGACTCATCTACAAGTCTTGCACAGCTGGTAATTTGCAGACTCTGGATCCCTTCCACTGCATTAGAATGCTTCCCACCCTGATGCTTATACAATATCCTACACCATGTAGAGGGCAGCTAGGTGGTGCAGTGGATACAGTGCCAGACCAGACCTTAGGAAGATTCCTTTTCCCGAGTTCAAATCTGGTCTCAGACATTTACTGGCTCTGGGACCCGGGGCAAGTCACTTAACCCAGCTTGCCTCAGTTTCCTCATCTGTAAATTGAGCTGCAGAAGAAAATGGCAAACCAGTATCTTTACCAAGAAAACGCCCAAAGGGGTCACGAAGAATCGGATGCAACTGAACAACAGCAAATTATGTGCTGTGGACTGTGCTAATCACTTTACAGATATTATCTCATTTTAAACTCAAAACCAACTTGGGAAGTAGTGCTATTATCATCCCCATTTTACAAATGAGGAAACTGAGGGAAACAGAGGTTATGTGACTTGCCCAGGGTCACACAACTAGTAAGTGCTTGAGGCTCAATATGAACTCAGGTCTGTCCTGACTCCAGGCTCAGTGTTCTGTCCACCGCCTCACGGACGTTGGAAGCTTTAACTCAAAGACTTGTCCACCGTGCATAGGCAAGGGCTTCTGGTTTTTGTCTCAGTTCAGCCCCATGGATTTAGAATCAAAGAACGTTTGGCCTGGAAGGGACCTTGGAGATCATCTAGCCCGATTCCCTTATTTTACCACTGAAGAAAAAGAGATCCTGAGAGACTGAGTGAGTCTTTCCTAGGACTGTTTGGACAAGTAGCAGATGCTTGATGGGGGCTTGGGTCTCCTGACTACGTCCTGGGCTCTTTGTAGTCTGTTTTACTTTCTTCTCATTTTGATCTTGTTTGGGACATGAAAGTCAAGTCAGTCATCAGGTTTTTGGGGGCTAGGACTGTGTCTTAGACTTCTTCTGTAGAACAATAACGTGCATAACTCAAGAAGTCTCTTCTGTTTATGGAGAACTTCCATTTTACAAAGCACATTCATTCTCCTTTTCTCTTGGGTCCTTAAAACAGCCCTGTTTCAGGGAGGCAAGATTCCACTTTATAGATGTGAAAACTGAGACCTGCTGAGAGGAACTGATATCTAATCAGTACTGGCTTCTCTGCTTACTACTTGTCTGATTAAAGGAAACATCTCTGGGTCTCCGTTTCTTCATCTATAGAATGCTGTTGTTGTTGTTGTTGTTCAGTTGCGTCTGACTCTTTGTGACCTCATTTGAGATTTTCTTGGCAAAGATACTGGAGTGGTTTGTCATTTCCTTCTCTAGTTCATTTACAGATGAGGAAACTGAGGCAAACAGGGTTAAGTGACTCACCCAGGGTGACACAGCTAATAAGTGTCTGAGGCCGGATTTGAACTCAGGTCTTCCTGACTCTAGGCCCAGCATTCTGTCCACTGTACCACCTAGTAGGACTAAATGATCTCTAAGGTCCCTTTCATCCAGCTCTACATATTATGATCTCATAGTACTCAGTAGACCCTCAGTAAGATAAGCTAGATGGTTGAAATGGCAGACTTACATTGATTTGTTCAGTTGGAAAGGCACCAATTCCCACGCGGGTGGTATAGGCCTTAACCACGCCAAATACCTCTCCCACATTCTGTGGCGGGATCCCCAACCCTGTGCACACTCCCCCCACGGTGCAGTTAGATGAGGTCACGAAGGGGTAAGTACCTGGAAGAGACAGGAGATTTCAACCAATGATATTTGACATGCCCCTGTTCTCCTCACGAAATTAAAAGACGCTTACTCCTTGGGAGGAAAGCTATGACAAATCTGGACAGCATACTAAAAAGCAGAGACATCACCTTGCCGACAAAGGTCCATATGCTCAAAGCTATGGTTTTTCCAGTAGTATTTGGTTGTGAGAGTTGGACTAGAAGGAAATTTGAGGACCTCAGGATCAATGCTTTCAAAATGTGGTGTTGAAGAAGACTTTTGAGAGTCCCTTGGACAGTAGGGAGATCAAATCAGTCAGTACTTAAAAAAATTAGTTCAGGCTATTCACTGGAAGATCAAATACTGAAGCTGAAGCTTAAATACTTTGACCACATAATGAGAAGACAGGACTCATTGAAAAAGACTCTGATACTGGGAAAGATTGAAAGCAAAAGGACAGGGGATGGCAGACGATGAGATGGATAGATAGTGTCATGGAAACAGCAATCATGAGCTTGGACAGACTTCGGGAGATAGTGAAGGATAAAAGGGTCTGTTGTGCTATGGTCCATGGGGTTACGAAGAGTCAGACACAACTGAAGGACTGAACAACAACATAGCTAAGTAAAAGACAACTGGAGGTAAACATAGCAATACATGAAAAGTGTGTTAGGTAATTACAAAACCAACAGCGATGTGAGGTCTGAGGGGTTATAGATGACTGGGGAAATCAAGGAAAATTTTGTGGACAAAATGGTATTTTGATCTGGCCTTTAAAGCATAGAAAAGGGTGACAGAGGATATTCTGGGCATAACACACAAGATTTAACTACCAGTGCATTAGAGAGATGCAAAGAAAATGCTCAGTCATGGGGGGGGGTAGGTGATTTACTGACAGATTAGAGAGTTAAAAGTGCTAAATCGAAGCCAAGTATTCTTCAGGCCAATCCTCTTCTGTTCCTATAGGAACTTCTGTCCTGAGATCCTCCACCCCCATGAAAACCTTCATAGAGCATTACTCAGCTCTAGGGCTCCCCCACCATCACCTCTGAGCTGCAGATCAAAGAAATGGGTTCAACTTTACCTGTCCATGATCTTGTAAAATCAGCATCCACCTGTGCATGCCTGAATGTGATCTCACCCTCTGTTTATCAAAACCTATCCCTGTCTCTAGCCTAGCACTCTCTAAATCATGCCAGTCACTTAAGTATTACTTTGGGCCTGAGCTGGTTCCACTGGATTCTTAACTTACCAAAGTCAATATCAAGGAGGGCTGCGTTGGCACCTTCCACAAGAATCTTCTTTGGGGGCCCATGGAGAGCTTCATATATAAAATATACTCCATCTCGTACCATGGGTCTGATTCTTTCAGCAAAAACCTGCCGGTACCAGTAGAAATGGAGATGATGAGCAACTTAGAGGAAAAGGTTCTCTCGGGGGCAGCTAGGTGGCATAGTGGATAGAGCTCTGGCCTTGGAGTCAGTAGGACCTGAGTTCAAATCCAGCCTCAGACACTAGATACTAGCTGTATAACTCTGGGCAAGTCACTTAACCCCAATTGCCTCACCAAAAAAAAAAAAAAAAGGTTCTCTCCTCCCACCCCGACTCTCTCACTCCTACAATACAGCTATGCCCTTCAAAACTCAACAATACTTTCTTCCAACAGAAACATAGAGAAACCCTGACTCTAGACTTTATTAGGAGAGAGCCATTGGCATATGTGTTACCATGTTTACTTCTCTGCCTTCTTAGGATTCTAGGATTAGAACTGGACTTAGAGAGACCACCTAATTCAAAACTCTTATTTTTAGAGACCAGGAAATAGAGGCCAACGGGTAAGAGAGAGAGTATTCAAGGTTACATGAGTAATATTGAGTCAGTCTCTCGATCGGGTCTTCTGATACTAAATCCAGCCTGTTTGCTCTTAAAACAATATTGCTGTTACTGTATACAGTGTTCTGGTTCTGCTCATTTCACTCTTTGTTATTTCGTGCAAATCTTTCCATCACTGAGATCACTTTGAGATCATTGAACTCATCATTTCTTATAGCACAGCATGTGGCTTTGGTTAAGTCACTTCTACTTTCTGGGCTCAGTTTCCATACCTGTAAAATGAGGAGATTGGACTAGACCAGGAGTTCTTAACTGTTTGTGTGTGTGTGTGTGTGTGTGTGTGTGTGTGTGTGTGTGTTATGGACCCCTTTGGCAGTCTGGTGAAGCCTATGAACGCTTTTTCAGAACATTGTTTTAAATGCATAAAATAAAATACACAGGATTACAAAAGAAACCAATTATATTGAAATATAGTTATCATAATATTTTAAAAACAAGTTCACAGGTCCCAGGCTAAGAAGCACTGGATTAGGTCTTTTCAATTTGAATGGAATTCTGCATCCCATTTTGTTGTCCCCTTTCAACAGCCCAAGCACAGCATCTGTACCTTGAGTTTTTTCAGCTGTCCTTCTGTATCCACTTCCAAAGTAGGAAACATTGACTGGTACTGATAGGCCAGGTTTTTGAACCTATAAAACAGCAGACAATTCAATCTTTTCTCAGGTGGAATTCCAGACGTGCCCAGACATACTGAGGAGCAGCAACCTTTGAGCTCCCCATAGCCTGGCTCTTAGACAAGCTGACCAGAGGAGGGTAACTGCTAACCCTGTGTGTCCATTCTTTCTCCTGTCTCCTGGCTTTGGGGTATACTTAGGGACAAACATTCTCCATTTTCTGTCTCCTTTAGAAGCAAATGAAAGGTTGAAGTTTCTGCCCATACCTTGCAGAAAATTCATCAAAGTCTGAAAGGAGGTCACAGATGCGAAGTCCTGTCCTGGCAGCTTTTGAAGAGTACGTTGGTCCAATTCCTTTCTTTGTGGTACCAATACTGAAACAAAGAGAGTGGGGGGTCTCGTTAAGATCTGGCAGAGTCCAGAAATATGACTTAAGTATTATATACGGGTTGAGTATATGGGCTGGAATATTGCTCCCTCTCTCCCACCACAGAAGTCTCTTTCCCAGTGGGTAAGTCCTTGTATCCCTCTCCACTCTTTGGTCCCCAGTTAGTCAACCAGTCGTTACCTTCTGGCATGCTATTCAATGTAGAGGGTATATTTTAAAATGTTACGTCTTTGAAAAAGTCATTTCTACTATTTGAGCCTCAGTTTCTCCATCTGTAAAAGAAGGAGGTTGGACTAATTGGTCTCTAAGGGTTCTTCCAGCTATAAGATTCTAAGATTCTATAAAATATATTTTAGAAAAATCCAGTCAATGGAATGATTGGATAAATTAAAAATCTGTGTCCCAGCTTATTTCAGTATTCAGTAATCTGAAGCCAGTTATCCACTTGGTGATTTATTCAATGGAACCAATCGATGAGTAAACAAATAAGCCAGAGTGTCCAACCCAAGTCTCAGCTGCCCCCACTCTGGGGTTGGAAGGGAGGCAGAGAAGAAATGGATCTGGATCTTATCCTTGGGGGCCTTACAGGCTTGTTAGGGGATGAGGAGAACACATGAACATTTAAATAACTATAAAACAGCATATACTAACTTCCAAATGAGGGGCACAGACCTGTAAGAGTTGAGGGGAGAGGAGGATATTTGTGGGCTAGGGTAATCAGAGAGGGCTTTAGCCCTTAGGAAGGAGTCAGGACTTAAGCTTGAGCTTGATGAATGGACCTATGGATCCATAGGGATCTAGTCTAAATCCCCTCATTTTAAAGATGAGGAAACTGAGGCTGGGAAAATGAAGTGACTCACCCAGAGTTACACAGTTACATAGCTAGTTGGGATTAGAGTAGGGATTTGAAGTTAGGACCCCTGAGTCTGACTCTAATTTTCCAGAACCTCACAGCAGAAGAATGCTGTGTGAGCAGAGCGCCAGTGGTCTGCCTGGAGCAGGGATTCCTGGCATCCTCCCTTCCTGCTCTTCAGGCAGACCTTGGCCTGTCTTGGGGCTGTAGCAGAATCACCACAGACCAGAGGCTCCTTCCAAAAGAAAATGGCCGGGCTTCGGGAAGAGATGAGCCCTGTCATGTCCCACCAAGGTGAAAGACCAGGGGGACTGCATGAGACAGACCCAGAGAAAAGGGGAAAAAATTGGGGAGCAGGAGTCAGTGCAAACTCGGATAGAAAGCAGCCACAGAAGAAAGGAGGGCAAGGAGCGGAGGAGAAGATGGTCAGGTAGGGAAGCAGGGTGTAAAGGGGGAGGGTACCTGTTGTGAGATTTGGAGGTGGTTTGTGAATCAAAGCCAATCGTTATCTTTGAATTGACTGGGAAAAACTTTATGTGAAGACAAGTCCTTTTTTAGGGATAGCAACTGAAACTGTGATTTCATTGAAGGTCTTATCTATACGACTGCCAAAATTTGGGTAGAGTGAGTTAGCTAACACATTAGTAAGTAACAGAAATGCCTTGGCAGGCCATCAGAGGGCTTTATGACTGACTAATAGTGAGCTGGGCATTGTAGAATGGCCCAATGAACTGGGTCCAGAGAACCCAGACAGGAAAATCCTAGTGGGGATATGTATGCTGGGAATGAATGACATTCTCATTCTTTGGGAGGCTGATAGATTTGGCTACCCAGGGGAATTGGGATGAGCCTAGCATAGGCCTGGATAACTTCAGTTAAGGGTACATGAGAAGATTAAAGGGGTAGCTAGGTGGCAGCTAGATGGAGCGCTAGACCTGGAGACAGGAAGACTTGAGTTCAAATCTAGCCTTAGACACAAGTCACTTAACCCTGTTCGTCTCAGTTTCCTCATCTGTAAAATGAGCTGGAGGAAGAAATGGCAAACCACCCCAATACCTTTGCCAAGAAAACCCCAAAAGGGGTCACAAGGAGTCAGGCACAACTGAACAAGAGCAGAAGACTTAAAGGTCACTCAGCCTGACACTAGGGAGTTCTTCTGTTTACATACTCGTAATAGTCTTTCTGTAGCCTGTTGTTTCTAAATCTATATATTCTCTGGTCCCTTGTGAATAAATCCTGGAAAACACCCTCTTAGGTTCTGAAATATGTAGAGATAAAGGTGAGAAGGAAAATAAGTGAGACCAAAATGCTAGAGAGAGTGACAGAGACAGGAAGAAAAGAAAAGGTAATTAGGGTCTGGAGATGGTATATACCATTTTTTATTACTTGACCTGTGATTTAATTATTATAAGAAACTTCTTCCAGAGAGGAAATTCCAATCTATCAATGCAAATCAGCAACTTTTCTGTGATTTACAGTCTTAAAGAATTACCTAGAAGATTAAGAGATTAAGTCACTGGCCCATGGTCCCATAGCCAGAAAGTGTCAGGGGTGGGATATGACCCCAGGTTTTCCTGACTCTGAGGCCAGCTCTCTGCACACCACATGGCCTCTTGTGGGCATAGCAGGATCATAGATTCAGAGCCTCAAGAGACCTTAGCACTTAGCTGCCTACTTCTCTCATAGGACAACACTAGGGAGCTGAGGCCAAGAGTTTAAGTAACTTACCTAAGATCAGGCAAGTAAATGAGACAGCTGGGATTCAAGCCCAGGTTCTCAGATCCCAAACTGAGCATTCTTGATCTCTGATCCCAGGGAGCCAAGTAGGCTGAGGGGTCAGGAAGCTCAGAGAATTTGGGGTCTTGATTGGTATTTAAAGATCAGGGAAGTTTAATAGAGAGAAGTGGACTGGAATAGTGGAAAGAGCAGTGGACTTGCTATCAGTGGATCTGAGTTCCAATCCTGACATTGCTACCCTCTGAACTTGGTCAACTCACTTAACCCAAAGGAGTGTCAATTTTCTGGTCTCTAAAATGAGGGGATGGGATTGGATGGCGTCTAAAGGCCTTTTCAGCTCTAAATCACATGAAATGATCTTCTGTGACTTGGTGAACAGGCCTCCTGTGAGGTTAAGGAAGGTGCAAAAGGAGAAAATGCTTGGACAGAAAGCGAGAGTCCCCTGGCTGGCCTGAAGATAAGGAGCTGGAACCTCAAGAAGGCCCAGAGCCATATCCTTCAGAGAATATCACTCATCTTCCACTTTTCCATTGGTCGGGGCTTGCCCTTCACTGCCTGGACCAGGGCTGCTTGTGTGTTGGAATGTGAAGAGCGTGGCAAGGATCCCCTCTCTCCCCAGCTAAGCTCTCTTTAGTTGTTGTTCAGTCATTTCAGTCATGTCCAACTCTTACTAACCCCATTTGGGGTTTTCCTGGCAAAGATACTGGAGTGGTTTGCCGTTTCCTTCTCCAGCTCATTTTCCAGATGAGGAAACTGAAGCAGACAGGTCTAAGTGACTCCCCCAGGGTCACACAGCTAGAAAGTGTTTGAAGCCAGATTTGAACTCAGGCAGATGAGTCTTCCTGACTTTATGCCTGGTACTCTATCTACAGCATCACTTAGCTGTCTGAAATTGCTCCATTATTTCTTCATTCTTCTCAGTCCAGTCTCCACTTTTCACATACAAACTCCCCCTCCCATGGTTCACTTTTGGTAGCTAGGTGGTACAGTGGATAGAGTGCTGGGCCTGGAGTTAGGAGGACCTGAATTCATATCTAACCTCAGATGCTTTCTTTAGCTGTATGACCTTGGGCAAGTCACTTAACCTCTGTCTAGCTCAGTTTCCTCAACTGTAAAATGGAGGCAATAATAGCACCTACCTGGAAGGGTTGTTGTGAGGATCAGATGAATAATATTTTTAAAGTACTTAGCATAGTGCCTGGCACATAGTAGGTGCCTAATAAATGCTTCTTCCCTTCCCCCTTCCCTCCTCTCTCCCCTCTTACGGGAAGGGGCACAGTTTTCAGCAGGAACAATATTGGTTAGGGGAATCCTTGCTAGGCAGTGATTGGCTGGTGATCAGAACAGTGACAATTCAGGATCTTGCTCAAAGTTCATTAATTTTTTTCCCCTAGAACAAAAACAAAATGAAACTTAACTATGTAATTATAATGACCAAACTTGGCCCTGGAGAAGAGTTGAGAAAATCGAAACGTTCTCCCTCTGCAGAAGTGAGGGACTATGGGAGTAGAATATTACATATACTGATAAATATGATTTATGTCTTGGTTAGTTTTGCTGAGCAGCTTTTCTTTTTCTTTTTAAATCTTGGCTATAAAGAGATGGCTTTCTGAGTATTTTTAGAAATGATGGAGATATAAAAAATGCAAGTTATCAATAAAAATAAGATTAAAACAACCTCTTTGTGATTCTTGATAGAGGTTCTCAGACCAGTCCTGATCAGTGTTTCTCAAACTCATTTGGCTATGGTTCACTTTGGTGCTTAAAATATATGAATTGACCCATAAATCCCAGGATGAAGAGACTAGGTTGCTGAAAGACCCCAGGAGATGAGGGAAGGAATTTTTGGAGCAAAATAGAGGTGTAACAACTAGCTGAAAGGATATTTACATAAGACTTTCCTCATTGGTTGAGATTTATCATTCACTGCTCCATATCTTTGTGAGGGATGGAGTTATAAGAGTTTGAAAGAGAAGAGATCTTGGCTTCTAACTGAGAGAGAGAAAGAGAGAGACATAGAGACACAGAGAGAGACAGAGACAGAGAGAGAGGGAGGGAAGGGGAGAGAGAGATTCAGACAGACAGAGAGACAGAGTCAGAGACACAGAGACAGAGAGAGAAGATACATGATTCTGGATTCTCTTCAGCTCCCAGATAGGAGAGAAAGACTCCGGGAAGAAACTGTTACGTAGAGGACCTGGTGACCTCAATCAATCATGTCCTTATCCCCAGCTTGCTACACTGGGAATTTTGGCTGCAAGGGAGGTATGAATAGATTTTAGAATCTCCTTTAGAATCTCCTCCCCTTACCCTTCTCCAAAGGAGACTTTGATTCCTGCCAGGAGGAGAAGCAGGAGGTTCGGATCACCATGATTCTACTCTGCTCTCTTTAAAGAGAGGGGGAACTGGGCTAGAATTATATCTATCTGCTCTCTTAAATACTGCTAGTGCAGGAGAAATAATTTAAAAGTTCAAGCTGTGCTCCTGATCGCTATCCCTTAATGGGGAAAGAGTGCCCCAAGCTGTATATCCACCAAGGCTTGACTCTTTTCTAAATGCCACAATTAACACATGTAGTAAAGAGCAAACAAACTCATTTATCCCAGTCAACAGCAAAACTGACATCAGAGAAAGTATCAATAGGAGACTATATATTAGATGATGCACAGAGTAAATGATGCTTTCCATTGGGAGTACAATAACTCAGCTCAGCCAAGAGGGAGTCTCAGATCTCACCCATGGGAAAATTCCCTGAAGTCTCTAGTATAGCAGGCTAAGAATATGATTAAGGTCACCAGTTCCTCTACGTATTGACTTCTTCCCAAAAATCTTTCTCTTCCTTCAGGGACCTGAAGAGAGTCCAGAATCAGGTGTTTACTCTCTTGAAGCTGGAAGCCAGAAGACCACACAGAAAATCTCCCCTCTCTCAAGCTCTCACCAGCTCTGCCCCTCATAAAAGTACACAGCATTGAGTGACAGATCTCCGCCAATGAGAAAGCCTTATGCAAATGACCTTTGAGCCAGCCATTAGAGTAAATGAAGCCTGTTTTTCATGTGGATTGTCAAGTACAGTCATTTTTTCACACACACACACACAAACACAAACACACAATTTGATATTTAACATTAAGAGGGAAGAAAATTGCTAATAGTAGATTGTGGTGTTGTGGCTGTAGTTTGTCCTTTGTTCTCGAAGAGGACCAAGACATCAAGGTGATGATGCCATGACTTGCAAATGAATTGGCTTAAGTGGGGGAGAGCTGTGCAAAGTCACCAGCACTTTCTCCTCCAGAGCCTTCTGGGTCCAGTAGCTAGATATAGATCAGGATGACTGGAGATGATCCAGGCTAATAGCAGAATTTCCTGACAGAACATGTTAGAGTCATGGGAGGAGAAGGGAATGGAAAGGAATCAGCATTTGTATAGTGCCTGCTATGTGCCAAGCACCATGCTAATCACTTGTTTTTTAAAACAAATACATCTTATTTGAGCCTTACAATAAGCCTTCGAGATAGGTGCTGCTATTATTCCTGCTTTACAGTTGAGGAAACTGAGGCAAACAGAAATAAAGTAATTTGCCTAGGGTCACACAGCTAGTAGGTGTCTAAGGCTAGATTTGAACTCAGCAAGATGAGTCTTCTGAACTCCAGACCTAGCACTCTATGCACTATGGCGCCACCTAGCTGCCCTGGACTATGGTACCAGCTACCTAATTGTTTTCTTTGCCTTAGCCTCTGTTTCCTTCAGTCCATCTTGAACATACTACCTGAGTAATCTTCTAAATGTGTATATGTAATTACTCCTCTAGCCTAAAGTCTTCAGTAGCTTCCCATTGTCTACGAGAGTACATAAACTTCCTAACCCTACATTTGAGGCCCTCTCCAATCTGACTGTTCCTCCATTAGTAAATGCTTGATCGGCTGAAACCCACCCTGGCACCTCCCTCCCACTCCAAGTAAATAGCACTTTCCAGGACCTCTCTTTTGTACTTACCTCACTGTCTCTTTTTTATTATAGATATTAGTGTTCTTTCCCCATTGTCCCCCTTTACTATGTAAATATTTTGAAAGCAGGTCCTGAATTGTAAAATAATAATAATAATAATAACAATGGCATTTTAGGGTGCTTTAGGGTTTACACAGTGTTTTAAAAATATGATTTGATTTTACCCTCACAACCACCTTAGGAGGTAAAAAACAAACAAAAAGCATTCATTAAGCACTTACTATTTGCCAAGCACTGTTCTAGATGTTTTACAAATATTATTTCATTTCATTCTTACAACAACTGTCTGAGGGGGGTATTATGTGTTATTCCTATTTTACACATTGGGGCAGGCAGAGGTTAAATGACCTCTCCAAGGTCACACAAATACTAAATGCCTGAGGCTGAATTTAAACTCCAATTTTGCCCTATCCACTGCACCACCAAGCTACTTCTTGTACCACTCATAACAAAATACAAGGCCTCACATATAGTACTTATTTGTTGAGTCTGTTGAGCAAAACATCAGAATTCCATGGGACACTAGATGGGAAATGCTGACCTGGAGAATTAAAGGAAAAAATCCTGCCTAGGAATGAGTGACCTAGAGAATACAATTAGTGCAGGCCTTATTGTGATTCATACTTCAAATAGAATGGAATTCCTCACAGCAGAGAAGTCTTTGAGTCACATCATCCAGCCTTATGTCCCAGTCATGTCCACAGTCAGGATTAGAGATTGACAGTTGCAGGGGACAGATCCTATGAGACAGTTAGCTCCTTGAGAGCAGGGTCTTTTTTCTGCCTTTCTTTGTTTCACTAGCACTTAGCATAATGCTTAGCAAATAGTACGTACTTAATAATTGCTTGCTGACTGACTGAATGACTGACTGAAGGGATCTTACAGGTCACTGAATCACCTCCCCTCTCCCATTTTACTGATGAGGAAACTGGAGCCTAGAGATCTTAAATGACTCGCCCAGAACCTCACAGCTGGTAAGTTTGATGTAGGATTCAAACACAGGTCTTCCTGACTCCCGTCCAGCTTTCTTTCCACCACACCAAGCCGCCATCCCCCCATGCACCAACTTGCCAGACTGAAGAATCACTAACAGAAGGAAGAGGTTGAGACATAATTACTTTTTCCCCTCTTGAGCCTGACGTTGCATTTCCTGAAGTCCGTCGACTGCTTGGTGAAAATCAAACACTGCCAAGCAAAAAGGGAGGGATGGGAGAATGGAGGAGAAGGAGAGAAGCAATTAGAAGGTGGACACCATGCCCAGCAGCATCAGTGTCAGCATTGGGAAAGGAATGGTGAACCTTGGAGCTGGGAGGCCTCTTGGTGGAGCAGAAAGGACATTTTGGGGGGAAAGGATGGTGCCAGGGACTGAGGTTTCATTCTGGCTTCATTGCTCTCATACTATGTGACCTAAAGCAAGTCACTTGACCTTTCTGGGTCACAGTTTCTTCACCTGTAAAATGAGGATAACAGTCCCTGCCCGGTTGACCTCTAGGGGCTCTGGGAGGAGTCGTATGAAATAATGCATGGTAAAGAGAGCTGGAAACAATAAAGCACTATAAACATGTAAGGGAAAATGGGCAGGACTGAGCTCTGCCCTATGAAGAAAAGGATGGCACCAAAAGCCATTGCCTTTTGGAGCAGAACAAGTCCAATTATGGGACAGACAGATCAGGACTTTTTCCTTTGACTGATAAACTAAGAATGACAGCTGAGTGGATTCCCTCCAGGAGGAATGTTATGCTATGGAACTAGGAAAGGGACTGCTTACTCTTCTTCTCATTCATTTGACACTCAGGGCAGTGTGGCCCAGTGGAAAGAGCACTGGGCACTACTAGTTGGCTCTTCCACATGTTAGCTAATGTGACTTTGGGCAAATAAGTTCCCTGAGTCTCAGAGCCTCTCATTGTAAAACAGAGATAATACTTGTACAATTTACCCTCTAGAGGTATTGTGAGGAAAGTACTTTATAAACCCTAAAGCTCAGTAGAGATGGGAAGGAACTATTCCTATTTGTCTGGTGGGGCTCTCTGGAAAGGTGGGAGTACTCACCAATGTGGGCTCTGTCTGAAATGATGAGTCTTTTTTCCCAGTCTTTCAGACCTGCCAAAGATAGAACCCTATAGCTCAGAGCTTGTGTACCTTAATTATGGTGAAAGAATAGAAGGAAATGACTTTCTTTTTCACTAGATCTCCCTACTCTAACTCTCCTGGTAGCATGTGTACCTTTGTGTAGGATGGTCTAAAACATCACTGATACATTATTTCTGTGCAGGCATATCCTGTAATTCTGTCATGTGTTCATGACAGCTTCAATGTATCTTGACCTATACCAGTGTTTTTAAACTTTTGGGGCTCAGGACCCCTTTACATTTTAAAAAAAATTAATGAGAATTCCAAAGAGCTTTTGTTTATGTTGGGTATATCTATCAATATTTTCTATATTATCAAGTAAAACAAAATTTTAAATTACTTACTAATTCATTAAAAAATAACAATATGTGGTATATGATTATAATAGAATGCTATTGTGCTATAAGAAATGATGAACAGGATGATTTCACAAAAACTTAGATAGGCTTACATAAACTGATACAAAGTGAAGTAAGCAGAACCAGGAGAACATCGTACACAGTAACAACAACATTGTACAATTATCAACTATGAACGACTCAGCTATTCTCAGCAATATAATGATCTAAGACAATTCCAAAGAACTCATGATGAAAAATTCTATCCACCTCCAGAGAAAGAATTGATGGAATCTGAATGCAGATTGAAGCATACTATTTTTCACTTTATTTTTTTCATGGTTTTTTTTGTTTGTGTTTTCTTTTACAACATGACTGATATGGAAATATGTTGTACATGATTGCACGTATATAACCTATATCAAATTGCTTACCATCTGAGGGAGAGAATTTGGAACTCAAAATTTTTTAAATGAATGTTAAAAATTGTTTTTACATGAAGCATCTAGTTTGAGATATCCAAAAAGCAATTGGTGATATAGGGCTAAAACTCAGGAAAAAGGCTAAGGCTGGATATATAGGGCTCTATAGAGATGATAAATGAATTCACATGGGCTAATGAAATCACCGGTTGAGATAGTATAGAAGGAGAAAAGAAGTCCCTGAACAGGGCCTTAGTGGATACCTACATTTAGTGGGTGTGATGTAGATTAAGCTCTAGTTTAGGAAGGGTCAGATAGGTGGGAGGAGAATCAAAAAAGAACAATATAATGAAAAGAGGTTTGGGGTTTGGCACAGTGTGATCAGGGATAGGCAAGGGATTGCTGAATAAAGGAGAATATAGAGTTGAATTGGTTCACCAATGGGTCAAGATGGAGAAGGAAGGAAAGCATTGCCAGTGAAGGAGTAATAGCTTAGGAAAAAACTGAGAGATGGAGGGATTGGGGATCAAGGTAAGGATGAATAACAGGATTAGAGGTCATAAGGCATAGGAAAAAATGGAATGATAAAATATTATAATCAGATAAAGGAATTTCAGAGAACATTTGTAGGCAATGGTAAGATTAAGGCTGTGACCAACTCTGTGTGTAGCTGAGATGGAGGGGAGGTGTAGGGAATGGCAAATGAGTAAACTGAGCAACAGGGAAGGTCGAGGGTTTGAGGGAATATCAGTCTGTATGTTAAACTCCTTTACTATGATGGAAGGAGTTGGGGTGGAGAAAAAGACTAGGATCCAGACACTGAACTCACTGAGGAAGCAAGGAGAATTACTGTGGATTGATAGATTAAGGTCACTGGGGTCCGGATTGTCTTGCTTCTCCTTCTGCCTTCTGGGCTCCAGCACAGCTAATACAATTTCTCTTCCACGTCATAGATATTTTAAATACTTGAAGACAGTGATCATATCTTGACCTCCCCTCAAAGTCCCCTCATCACTGAGTCTTTTGTAGGCTCCATCTGATCCTCCTATGGATTGATTTCCAGTCCTCTCCTCATTTCTGGTTGCCCTTCTTTGGACGCTCTCTAGTGACTCCAGAATGTGGTACCCAATACCCCATGTCTGAGCAGGGCACAGGACAGTGAGACTGTCAACTCCCTCATTCAAACACAATGCTTTTGGCAAGGTCAGTTCAGGTCCCTTTAGCTTCTTGTGGCTGCCATGGCACTTTTGAGTTATATTAAGCTTTGCAAAATAAACTTTTAAGAATAAAAAGCCCTATATCTTTTTTCAAGAACTATTGTCTAAAGGTATCTTCTACAATTACTTGCATAATTAGTTTTTTTTTTAATCCAAGCAGAAGACATTGCATTGATATCTCTATTAAATTTCCCCTTCTTAGTTCTGGTGCATTGTTCTAACCTGTCAAGATCTTTCTGGATAGCAACTCTACCAATAACTCTGTGGCCATCATATGTTTTCATATGTTTGGTTTTTAAATCAAAATACTCTCAACTTATCTCATAAATTTAGTGTATAAGCAAAAGGTAAAGAGGGTAGTTGGTAACAAACAATCAGATAGTTGTAGATTGTGGAGACATTCAGTCCCTAGTTTCTTACTGATCTCAACCACTGTGTTCCAGGTAAGTTTTATACTTGGGTCTTATTCTTCAAGACCAAAGTGAATCAGAAAATCCATGTGATCAGCTGGGTAACCCAAATGAAAACACCCTTGTACTTTTGCCAGCATTAACCAGATGACTGTAGCTATTGAACTGGTACTGCTAAAATTCTCAGGGATTTGAAAAGAACTCACTCAGAAAGGAGAAGATCTAAAAGCACTGTCCTTGAAATGCTTTCTCGGGACCTAATGCAGTAGGAAGAGTGGATGTGGTTTTCAGAGTAAAGGAAGTCAAATATGTCATACTTACCTTTCTTCTCATTTTTTTCTGCTTCTTCAAATAGGCCAGGTAAGTGGATGACTACACCATTGCCTGAGAAACATACATGGGAGATAGGTTTATTGTTTAAATATGGAAACTAAGAAAATACACATTTTTAAATGGTTTATTTTAAAAAAAAAGAAAATTGGGCTAAAAAAATGCAGTTAATGACATCCACTCAATCTGATCTCTCTCTCTCTCTTAACATTTTCTTGGCACACATATTATCTGAATCTTTCTTTGCCCTATCACATTCTGTTTTGCATCATACCTTTTTGTTTACATGTCATATCATATTCCTACATTACACTGTAATAACAATAATAATTCCCATTTCTATAGAATGACAAACCTGGGAAATAGACACTATAAGTAATAATAATAGCTAGTATTTAAAGTTTTCAAGGTAGTTACAATTATTATCCCATTTGATCTTTACAACAACCCTGGGAGGTAAGTGCTATTATTATCCCCATTTTACATATGAGGAAATTGAGGCAAACAGAGGTTATTATCCAAAGTCACACAGCCAGTAAGTGTCTGAGGCTGGATTTGAGCTCAAGTCTTACTAATTCCAAGCCTAGCACTCTTACCTACTGTGCAGTTTAGCTCCCCTATCCCCTATTTTACACATGAGGACACTGAAGATGAGCACAGGTAAGTTTTGGAGGCAGTATTTGAACTTTGGACTTCTGACTCAAGATACAATTCACATTCCACTTCACCACACTATCCTACTTAAGTCCAAAGACTGGTGGTATTTTTCATCTTTGCCTCCCCAGGGCCCAGCACATGGCTCTTTGCATAGTAGGCCTTTAATAAATGTTCATGCTTCCATACTTTAAGAATCTGTGATTTTCACTGTCATGGTTACTAGCATTGATACCAATGGCAACCTCCGTGCCTTTGCAGATGGTCTTTGTGAGGAATTTGTAACTTCCAGTCAGCTTAGGTCCATTATTGGACCTATACTTGAACACTTTCTGTCCTGACCTTAGAATCTTCCAGAACTTGCTCTCTTTCAATCAGTCAAAAAATATTTATTAAGGACCTACTCTGCACCAAACCCTGGGAAATATAGAGACAAAAGTGAAATAGGGTCTTCAGTTTTGCCAGTACCCTTACCTAACAATGGTAGAAAGGTAGGTTGGGGTCGGATTGTAAAGGGCTTTAAAAACCAGATGGAAGAATTTATATTTTATCCTAGAGGCTATAGGAGCCACTGGTGTTTACTGAACTGGGTAGATTACCTGGTCAGAAATGCATTTAATAGGATAGCCACTTTGGCAGCTATATGGAAGATAGATTACAATAAAAGGGGACTTAAGGCAAGGGAACCAAATAGGAGACCATTGTAATAGTACAGGTGGTAAGCGATGAGAGCTTGAACTAGGGTGAAGGATGTGTGGGTGTAGAGAAAGGGTTGGATGCCACAGGAGAGGTAGAAATGGCAAGAATTGGTATCTTGTACAATATATGGGATGTGGGAGAGTAAGAAGTAGAAGTTAATGTTGAGTTCACAAACCTATGAGACTGGAAGGATGTTGGTTCTTGACAGAAATAGAGAAGTTCTGAAGAGGGGTGGGTTTAGGGGGGAAAGATGAATCTTGTTTTATACATAATTGTGTTTGAAATGATTCCGGGACAATTGGAGATGATAATTGGATGCTGGAAATGTCCAGCAGGCAGTTGTTGAGATAGGACTGGAGTTCAAGAGCAAAACTGGGGCTGGATGTGTAATTTTGGGAATTCAATACTTAAAGATGATAATTAAACCCATGTAAACTGATGAGGTCATGGTTTAGAGCTGGAAAGGCCCTTAGAGGTAACCTAGTCCAGCACCCTGATTTTACCTCATTTCTTCTGGTTTCATTTCTTTTACATCAATTCATAGTACTCTTCTCATATTCATGGCTCATTAGAAGACAATAATATTCCATTACGTCCATTTGCTAGTTTTTTTCAGCTGTTCTCCAATTGATGGACACCCTTTGAACAGTCAGTTCTTTGCTACTACAAAGAATGCTGCTGTGAGTAATTTAGTATATGTTGGGACTTTGTTTTGATTTTTGAGCTCTTGGGGGATATGCCTGGTAGTGGGATCACTGGGTCAAAGGTTATGAACAATTTAGTTACTTTTTTTTGGATAATTCCATTCATAGTTTCACCAACAGTGTATTAGTGTGCCTATATTCCCACCTTTGCCAATTTTCGTAGAGTAAGGTGAAACCTCAGAGTTCTTTTAATTTGTTCCTTTAATTTGTACTTATCTTACAGTACTATGAGTAATTTGATTATATTTTCAAATTGTCATTTAGTTTGCTATTCTTTTTTGGAAAACTGTTCATTTTTTTTGACCATTTATCTATTGGGGAATGGATTCTGGTGTTACATAATCAATTCACTATATATATTGAATATCAGACTTTTTCTTGGTGCCATTTAATTTAAATGTTTTCCTAGTTGACAGATTCTCTTTTTTTAATTAATTTTCCAATCAATGAAATTCTATCTTCTCTTCCTCCTACCTCCTCTTTCCCCTTTGAGAAAGAAAGAAAAAAAAAAACCCTATCAAACATGTACAGTTAAGCAAAACAAATTTTCACATTAGCCACGTCCAAAAAAATATTTCTCAGGCTCTCACTTCTCTATCAGGTGGTTAAGTAGCATGTTTCCTTATGAGTCATCTGGAATCATGGTTGGTCATTGCTTTGATCAGAGTTCTTAAATCTTTTGGAATTGTTTGTCCTTAAAATATTGCTGTTATTATATAAATTGATCTACTGCTCACTTCACTCCACATGAGTTCATAAAGTCTTTCCAGGTTTCTCTGAAATCATCCCCTTCATCAATTCTAACGGGTGCAACAATATTCCATTCCATTCATGTACTCGGTTTGTTTAGCCATCTACCAATTGATAGATACCCCCTCAATTTCCAATTCTTTGCCACCTCAAAAAGAGCTGCAGTAAATTAAAAAAATATTTAGGTCCTTTTCTTCTTTCTTTGTCTCTTGAGGGTAAAGGCCCAGTAGTAAGTAATATGGCTGGGTCCAAGCATATGCATGGTTTAATAGCTTTTGGGGTGGAGTTCCAAATTGTTTTCAAGAATGGCTAGAGCAGTTCACATTTCTACACACAAGTGCGGTACCTGTTTCCCCACAGTGCCTCAAGCATTTGTCATTTTCCCTTTTTTTGTGAACCTTGCAATCTGATTAGTATGAGATGGAATCTTAGAGTTGTTTTAATGTGCATTTCTCTAATTTTTAGTGATCTAAAGAACTTTTTTTCATATGGATATTGATTGGATTCCTTTATCTGAAAACTGCCTATTCATCTCCTTTGACCATTTATCGCCTGGGGAATGGCTCTTGTTCTTATACATTTGACTTAGTTCCCTATGTATCTTAGAAGTGAGACCTTTATCATAGAAACTTTCTTCAAAAGTTTTTTTCCCTGACTTATTTGCTTCTCTTCTAACCTCAGCTTCATTGGTTTTGTTTGTGCAAAACTTTTATATTCTATGTAATCAAAAGTTCTGTTTTACTTTCTGTGATTCTGTGTCTGGTTTCTTCATGAATTCCTCCCTTATCCATGGATCTAACAGGTCATTTCTTCCTAGCTCTTTTAATTTGTTTATGATGTCACCCTTTCTGTATAAGTCATGTACCCATTTGGAGCTTATTTTGGTATATGGTGTGAGATGTTGGTCTCGGCCTAGTTTCTTCCAGACTACTTTCCAGTTTTCTCAAAAGTTTTTGTCAGATGGTAATTTTTTACCCCAATAGTGGGATCTTGGGGTTTATTAAACACTAAGCTACTATGCTATTTGCCTTTGCATATTGTGTATATAATCTGTTCCATTGGTCAACCTTTCTATTTCTTACCCAATTCCAAATGTTTTGATGATTATGGCTTTGTAACATAGCTTGGGATCTAGTATTGCTAGGTTTCCTTCCTCTCTAATTTTTTTTTCATTATTTCCCTTTAGATTCTTGAAACATTGTTCCTCCAGAAGAATTGTATTTTATTTTTCTAATTCTGTAAAGTAATCCTATTATAGTTTGACTGGTATGGTACTAGAAAGTAAATTAATTTAGGTAAGTAGTATTGACCTTCTCTTCTAATTTTCCTTATTCATGTGTAAGCTTTTGAATTTTATGTAATCAGAATTGTCAGTGTTGTCGTTTATGATCTTTACCCCTTGTTTGTTTCAGAATGTAACTTGAGGAAATCTTAAGATGCCCACATCTTCCCTTACTTGACCTAGTATCTCAGGGTGTATGGTTGTGGCGGGGGCAGAGAGATGTGAATCTTATTATTTGCCTGCTTTGTTATAAAATTAACAGTTAAATCCCACAAAGGTTGGATACTATGCCCTGAGGATATAGATATGGAGTGGCTCACAGAGACCTGATTACTGCTCCTCCTTAGCTTTAGAAAGAAAGATTTACCTTTCTACACAGGTGCTCCCAGAGCCCTCTTCCCCAGTGAGACAACTCCTGTTGTTACTGAGAATAGGTGGCCTGGGCTTTCAGAAAAACCTGGAAAGGCTTACATGAACTGATGCAAAGTGAAGTGAGCAGAACCAGGAGAACATTGTGTATAGTAACAGCAACATTGTGTGCTGATCAACTATGAACAACTTAGGTTTCCTACAATGATCCAAGACAGTTCCAAAGGACTCACGATAGAAAATGCTATACTCATCCAGAGAAAGAGCTAATGGAGTCCAAATGCGGATCAAAGCATGCTATTTTCACTTTCTTAATTTTTTAGTGGTTCTTTTCTTTTGACCTGCTTCTTCTTCCACAACATGACTAATATGGAATGTTTTACATGATTGCATATTCATAACCTGTGTTAAATTGCTTACCATCATAGGGAGGGAGATAGTTTGGAACTCAATATTTTAAAAAATGAATGTTAAAAACTGTCTTTACATACAATTAGAAAAAAATAAATTACTTTTAAAAAAAGAAAAAAAGAAGAAGTGGTCTGGTATAGTAGAAGGAACAGGTCAGAAGACGTGAGTTCAGGTCTTTGTTCTGC